CGTCACCCTCTTTAAGTTGGCCATGTGTTGTGTAGTTGGGGTTGAAGAAAACATCCGTTGGGGGTTCATCATCACCTAAGGTGATATCAGTCATGTGTTTTGGTGGACAATAGACATTCTCAGGTTGAACTTCATCCTCCGGATTGTTCACCATCTCGTCAACTATGACTTCAGTTGCTTCTTCCTCTTCGTCAACGACATTGACTTCGGGGTGTTCATCTTCAGAATCGCAAAAAACTTGTGACGAATCAAGTTGCTGAGATAGTTGTTGTTGTTGTAACGTAACGTAAACCATGATTTCTGAGAACCCTGAATACTCGTGAGTGCGGAACATGTTACGCACGTCTTCATCATCTCGCACCTTTAAAGGAAAAAATTTGCATGAATCAAGTCCGGCAAAGAATATTGGGTTTTTGTATATTATTTGCCCAACTAGACCACACTGCAAATTTTTTTCTAATCTTGACTTCAGGTGTAAAAAGTTAGACCTTCTGTCAATTAAAAATCTTGTAACCTCCGTGTTTCTGAAACTGTATCCCGATACCTCACATTCGAAAGTTTCACCATTCATATGAGCGGCAATCATGTGTTGTGGTGTTTGAGACATTGTGGAAATTGTGGTGTTTGAATAATGCAGTGTTTCAATGTTTTAGTGTGTTTGAGACTTTGAGTGTGTTTGAGACTTTGAGTTTGATAAAGGCTTTATAAAATGGGCTTAGTGTTTTTGCGTGTTTGACAAAGGCTTTATAAAATGGGCTCAGTGTTTTTGCGTGTTACTCTATAATCAATGTTTGAGTGTTTGAGTGTTTGATAAAGTTCTGCCTTTCACTTGTCCTGTCTACTCTATAATCAATGACCATGCAAAGTTCTGCATTTACATGTGATGCTCAAGTCAAGAATCTCTGCCTGCCTTTCATTTATCACGCATGCTCCATAATTGTGATGTTCAGGAATCTCTGCATGCCTGCACTTCTGCCACAAAACGTTTAATTGTGAAGTGACAATGCAAACTTCTGCCTTTAATTGTGATGTTCATTTATCACACTACGATGAATAAAATTATTTTATGCAATTAAAGAACCACAAAACGTTTAATTAAATATATAATATAATATGATGAAATAAAAATATTATATAAAATGATGAATAAAAATATTATATAATATGATTAGATGTTTCAGTGAAGGAATCTCGTTTTTTAAAATGTGATCTGCATCCCTACATTGACCATGCAGGCCTACGAGCATCTGCGTTGATACATTGCATTACAATAAATGCCATGCAGTCTGTTTGATTAGACGTTACACTGAGGGAATCTCCTTTTTCACAATAATATTAATAATATTTATATGAATAATAATAATAATAATATTAATAATAATAATATTAATATTAATAATAATAATATTGATATTAATAATAATAAAAATAACTCCTTTGTTTATATTTATTTCAATAGATTAGTCTAGTAAATTTAAATACATTAGTCTAGTTAATTTAAATAATTTTACTAAATCAACATACTAAAACATCTAATACAATATCATTTAAAAAATTTGTTAGTAATTTGTCAAGCATGCACTCATAAAAGTTCTGCCTCACGCCAAGTGCTCAGCATGCACTCACATGTCACGCCAAGTGCTCAGCATGCACTCATAAAAGTTCTGCCTCACGCCAAGTGCTCAGCATGCACTAATAAAAATATTAATACTACTAATAATAAAAATAATACCTTCAAGGTGCTCAGCATGCAATAACAAAACACACATGTGTCACGCCAAGTGTCAAGCATGCATTTAAACCATATCCACTCTTTGAATATAAATATGGGGTATATACACTCACACATTCATACTCTCTTTGTCTCAAACTCTCAAACTCCCAAGTTTTCTAAGTCTCACCCACTCAAACCTCTCTAGCTCTCATACTCTCAAACTCCCAATTTTTCTAAGTCTCAACCACTCAAACCTCTCTAGCTCTCATACTCTCTTTGTCTCATACATCTCAAACCTTTTTTACATCGCAACAATGTCTCTACTTACAATGGGAGAATCTCACAGAGGGACACTCGAAAATATTGCTGAGTTTGTAAGTTTACAAGTCATACATCTCAAACCATAATTATTTATAACTTTGCACTTCTTGTCTAACGAAACATTTATTTCTTTGCAGGATGTTTCAAGGTTTCGTTGTCGTGTACATGATTATGTACCACACGACCCACGCACGGCGGGTTACCTTCATCATTGTGGGTTTGGTCATGTTCTAAAAATCCAATCATATTCTCTTGATATGAAATTTATTCTAGCGTTGTTAGAACGCTGGAGACCAGAGACGCATACATTTCACTTACCTTTCGGTGAGTGCACTGTGACTCTCCAAGATGTCTACATGTTGCTCGGCCTACGCATTGATGGTACGGCTGTCAACGGCAACGTTGGTGTTCCTGACCAACTATGTAAAGATTTATTGGGCGCCCCTCTATGTGAGGACGACCCTCAGGCGGAAAGAGGAGGCCGCCCTAGGGGTCAGGGCATAAATCTGAAATACCTTAGAGAACACTACAGTTCTCTTGTCTTGGATGACGATAGCACGGAATATGAAAAAATAATAAAAACAAGGTGCTATATTATGATTCTGTTCGGGCACTTTTTATTTCCAGAGGGCACCGGAAATACCGTCCATACAATGTATTTACCGTTGTTACAAAATATTAACAAAGTGTCTGAATATAGTTGGGGATCAGCCGTACTCGCCCATTTGTATAGCGCATTATGCAAGACTTCGAAAAAAGATGCGTGTACTTTTTATGGATGTGCCTATCTCCTACAAGCGTGGGGTTGGTCAAGGATGCCAACACTTGCTCCTATCAACCGTAACCCTTTCACATTCCCGTATGCCAACAAGTAAGTTTTTTATTTTTAAATTTAAAAAACAAGTCAATACTTTCTTACATGTGTTTCCGATTCTGACTTAGATGTGTTTCTTATTTTTAGGTGGTCTGTTCCCGGCATGAATTACCAGAGATGTCCACGGCACTCTATAATTCAATATCGCAACCTGATCGACCACCTGGGGCCAGATGATGTAAGTTGTTTGCCATTAGTTTGTCTAAGTTGTATGCATAACATTTAATTTGTCTGTCTGACTAAACACATCAACCTTTATTGTAGTTTGTATGGATGCCGTACGAGGGTCTGGACCACCAACCCAACCCTAATGATGTTGCTGTGTGGACCTCGCGAACACCCATTATCAGGTTCACTACAATAGAGATGCACCAAAGTGACCGGGTCAAACTTCAATTTGGGATGCATCAAGATATCCCAGAGGATCCGGTAAATCTGGGACGGTGGCATCAAAAACGAGTGGACTCACAATGGAGTGTTAGTAGCTGGACTGAGTTTGCCAAGGCGTTGTGTAGGCAATGGGACAGAAGAAGCCGCTACATATTAACCGACCGGATTGTGCACGGGGCTAGACCAAGTATTCAATACATGACTTGGTTTAGGTCTGTCACAACATCTGAGCAATTTCTGTCCCAGCCAACGTATTTGGTTGATCCAAGGCAACGAGCTTCAACGTCAACCACACAACAAAATCAACCTTCTGAAAACCTTTACATGCCTACCACCCAGTCCCAGCCTGACCATTATAGCCCAGACAACTCTTTCAACCCTACCCCCTACAACTACCCATCCAACCACCCCTCCAACCACCCCTCCAACTACCCCTCCAACTATCCCTCCAACTACCCATTATTCGACTACGAAACCCCACAACAGCCCACACAACCATCCCAACCCAATTCAATGTACGCCTTCGGACAACCATACCGTCCATACTCCACCCAACCTGCCAGACACTCATTCGAAAACATGGGCGTCGGGCTTGATTACGGAAGCGCAGTTGACAGTGGACCTTCCGGTTATTGGGGCCAAATGATGCAAAATCTCTATGATATCCCGGGGCCCTCCCAGCAAAACCCTCCTCCAAATGCCAACACACAACGACCAGAAACACCGCAGCAACCTAGTCGTCGACCTCGTCGCAACGCACAACCCCCCCGGTGTGGCACTGATGGTCACTTAGATAGAGCCGGACAATAATTATATTGTAATTTTCATTTTATCGTAATGTTCAATATTTTGTAACTTTAATTAGGAAGTCAATCAAATTTAATTTTAAATTTCTATGTTTAATCATATATTTTTTTACATTTCAACTTTATATTAATAATTATTTTGAATCAAATTTAACTTTATTTAAATAATTTCTACTTAAAATATATTAAAATATTAAATAATTAATTAACATGGTTATTTTAAAAAAAAATTCAAAATAATAATCAAAATATTTTATATTTTAAAACTTAAATTAAAATTATAACTTATATTAAAGTTAAAATTAAAATTAAACTTTAAAAATAAAACTTAAATTAAAATTAAACTTATATTATAAATTAATTATATTAAAAATTAAACTTATATTATAAATTAATTATATTATAAATTAATATATTAAACTTAAATTAGTAATAATAATAATTAAAAACAAATAAATTTTTAAACTTTAAAAATATGAAATCATAATATAAAAAGAAAAAAAAAAACAAAAAATAAAGTTATACTAATTCGCCAAATGATGTGGCGACTTTGTGATGGTTTGGCTAATTCGTCAATTCATCTGGCGAATCTGTTGAAATGTAATTCGCCAATTGATCTGGCGAATGACTGCTTCCACCTTTCAAACCTTGCCATTTTCGTAAATTAATTGAAACATTAATTTGTTTGGTAAATAAAAATTATAACATTGCTACTTTAAAAAAAAATTCAAAAAAGTATGCAAAATAACTACATATTGAAAACTCATTTAAAAATTCATCTCAGGTCTCAATATATATATATATATGTTTGACCCGATTACGCAACTGCTGAATAACACATTAAAATACTTTTTCAGTAGCCGCCACCTCCACGGCAACCCCAAATCAACACACGATGGATTTCACTCCTCCGCCGATTGAAGACGGTTACGCGGCGGAGAAGCTTTTCAACAGTGGTTTCTCTTACACATACGACGACCTAATCTTTCTCCCTCACTACATCGACTTCGCCGCAGATGCCGTCGACCTCTCCACCCGTCTCAGCCGAAATATCCCCCTTTCCACTCCCTTTGTCGCCTCTCCCATGGATACCGTTTCCGAATCTTCCATGGCTTCTGCTATGGCCGCACTCGGAGGTATCGCTATTGTTCACCCGAACAACACTTCCTCACGTCAAGCTGCTTTAATCCGTGCCGCGAAGTCACGCCGTGTGCCTATCCTCTCCGAGCCTGTTTTCGTTTCTCCGTCTGATGTTGTTGAGTCTGATGAAGATTTCGCTGCTTCGCCTTTCATTTTAGTAACAGAATCCGGTACTTCCACTGGAAAGTTTATCGGTTTTGTCTCGAAGGCTAATTGGTCGAATCAAAACGACAAAAGCCTGAGAGTTTCTGACTATATGGAGCCTCCACCGTCTGCTGTTCCATGGAGCTCCGACCTTGCGAAAATCGAAGAGGAGTTGGAGAAGAAAAAGGGAAATATTGTTGCTTTGGTGAAAGGTGAAGAAGTGGTGGATTTGGTGACAAAAGAGGAGGTTGAGAGGGTGAGAGGCTATCCGAGATTGGTCTCCGGAGGGTCAGTTGGGGCTGATGGAGAGTGGATGGTAGGGGCAGCGATTGGGACGAGGGAGCAAGATAAAGAGAGGTTAGAGCATTTGGTGAAAGCTGGAATAAATGCTTTGGTGTTGGATAGTTCTCAAGGGAACTCTATTTATCAATTGGAGATGATTAAGTATGTGAAGAAGGTGTATCCTGAATTGGATGTTATTGGTGGGAATGTGGTGACTATGTATCAAGCTGAGAATTTAATTCAAGCTGGTGTGGATGGGTTGAGGGTTGGTATGGGGTCTGGTTCAATTTGTACAACTCAAGAAGTTTGTGCTGTTGGGCGTGGTCAGGTATATAGTCTTGTCTTTCTTGTCTCTTAACATCAAAGTTTGATCAAATAATACGATAATGCAAGGTTATGATAATGCATTTTGTTATGATAATGCATTTTGTTATGGTAATGTATTTTGTTATCACAATAAGTTGTTACATGTTACAGCATTGCATTTCAATATCATGTCTTTGTTGTCTCTTAACATCAAAGTTTGAACAGTTTGTTGCATTTGCCTTTGGATTCATTAGTGATTTCAATTGTTAAAGCCTTGATTATGGTCATGTTTGGATAAACAACTTAAATAATCTTATAAGTGGTTATGTTTAAAAATATATCGGGTTTGTCTTTGTCAGGGAACTGCAGTTTACAAGGTCTCATCCATTGCTTATAAAAGTGGAGTTCCTGTAATTGCGGATGGCGGCATCTCAAACTCTGGTCATATTGTAAAGGCTTTATCATTGGGAGCATCCACTGTTATGATGGGAAGCTTCTTAGCTGGTAGTCTTGAGGCTCCGGGAGCTTATGTATATCAGGTACGAAACCCTGATGTAATCTTATGTATTGCTGTAGCCTTTTCATAAGATTAGCATCTTTTGCCCCGTGTGTGGATGAGAGTTTTGTAGAGAAAACCTTTTTAAAGATAAAGAACAACAGAACTTATAATACTTGTGGTTAAAGGGATGTTAGTCTCTTGTAAGCAAAAACTATTTTGGTTAGAAATAGATGTCCAGTAACTATTTTGGTTAGAATTAGATGTCTAATGGAAAGAGGATTAGATTCTTACTGAGGTTTTTTTTTAAATTTTTTTTAAAATTATCATTTGGTGTGGATATGGAAGCAACTATACCATGAAACCATTTTTACATTCCTTACTCTTCCTTTTGTGGTTACCTTGTTTCTGTCATATAGTTCCATAATTTTGTTGATGCCATTTCTTTACACGCTTAAGTAAGAATAAGTACAGTTTTAATATGCATACCTACTTTTTCTGCACCAGAACGGCCAACGTGTCAAGAAGTATAGAGGAATGGGTTCCCTTGAAGCTATGACTCAAGGCAGTGATCAAAGGTACCTCGGTGATACAGCAAAGCTTAAAATTGCCCAGGGGGTTGTTGGAGCTGTTAAAGATAAGGGTTCCGTGTTAAAGTTCATTCCATACACTGCACAAGCAGTAAGGCAAGGGTTTCAGGATATTGGTGCCAACTCTCTTCAGTCTGCACATGACCTTCTAAGATCCAGGGTGTTAAGGCTAGAGGTACGTTTGACCGAGTCGACTTGTTATTTATTTATTGCTCTGGTTATTAGCTTTAGCAGTCAATGTAGTTGCTTCATTTACTCAATCAAAATAATTAACGTTGTTTGTTGACTGACTGCCAATCTTCTATTGAACTAACATACATAGTTTTTTTCACTAGCTTTTGTTTCCATGGTGATACTTGTGGAAACGGTGGGAAAATAGTAATAGGATTAGGTAACTCTAGAATTAAAAAAGCCTTGTATTGTAGTGCCTCATTGATAAAATTCCATTTCTGCTGTACTGTCATGTAGCAGAATTTTCTGTTTCCTGTTCTGTCATGTTTGGGCCTTTGGGGTATAGGATATGGCCATGTTCTGATATGAGTTGGATGTGGTATCTCTTTCATGAGATTTGTAACATTTTGTCATGCAATATAAGGGTATGCGTGTGTGTCGTTTGAACATACTTGAGGGGTGATTAGTACAATTTCCCCAAGAAATGGAAGTGGTAAGTGTTTGTTTACAAAATAGAAGAGATGTGTGTGTGTCATTAAGAATAAAATTGGTTTCATAATCTTTTGAGGACAAAACTGAATTCTCTTAATAACTTTCAACTACCACAATGTACTGTTACTCCATTAGTTTATCGGAATAATACTTGATCTGCTTTTGTCCAGGTTCGTACCGGAGCAGCACAGGTTGAAGGAGGAATTCATGGGCTGGCTTCTTATGAAAAGAAATACTTTTGAAGTATGAGACCATCATAAATGACAAGCTCAGTTGAAGCTGTTGTTACTATTAGTATAAAAGAAGGATGCACTTCTATTGGCGCTCTTCTAAGTTTTTGGGGAACGGTAGTTTATAGTCTAACATGGTGGAAAAAGATCCCCAAAAAGATCCCCCAAGGTTCTGAATTAAGACCCGCTCTGATTTCATTAGAATATAAACTCGGGTCTTTTTCTCTCTCTAAGTTATCCATATTAAACTTTGGTTCTTTTAAATTTATCCTGGATCTTACTAGTTGGTTTTACTTTTATCTTCTCAATGTTATTGTTAATGGATTTTTTTAAATTTTTGTAAGGACTAAAATCTCGTTCTAATTTTGTTATAATTGAAGAAATTATTCTCATGGTTTTATTAATCAGGTTTGCTATTCCTACACCCTTTCTTACACCTTACACTCAATTTATTGTTCATAAATATATGAAAAAAATGCTCAGAACATGGATAATGGTATGTATTTTATTAGTTAATGAAGCAGTGAAAGTGGTTAATAAATTATAGGTAAAATAATTGGTTAATGATGTAGATTTTTGTGGTTAATGCAACTATGAATTGGTTAATGCGTAATCTTATATTTGTGTTATAAAATAAATTTTAAAAATAAATATTTTTTTTTTAAAAAATTAATATTTTAAAAAAATATATTATTTTAATAAAAAAATACTGTTTACCGTATAAATACGGTGAATAGTGTATTCGGAGTATGTATGGGGTGCAGGAAAGGGTGTCAAAATAGTATTTTTTTTTATTAATTGATTATATCTTTTTCACAAAATGATTGATTTTTCCTAGAATATAGCCAATTCGACTGGTATCTTGTTAATTTGTCTTTTCTGATCATTTTACTAATACTCTCGGGTTTCTCTGGCTTTTATTTTCATATAATTATTAATGATTTTTCTTGAAATGAATCCAAAGTTTTTGAGGACTTTGAAACAGGAAGATAGGGTTTTTTCTACACTTCTGCAGAGTTAGATTTTGATTCATGCAACTAAGAACTTGAATTTCACCTCATGAAAGAGTAAGTTACGTGTGCAATTCTATCATCAAAAGAAAAGAAGTTAATGTGCACTGCATCAATCAAAAACACCCTTTTGAAATTAGTTTGATTATTGACTCAAAAAGAGATTCCGGATTTTTCTTTTCCCACCGAAAAGATATTAAGCTATGATATGTTTAGTTAGTTATAGTCTTTAAGAATAATAATGAGTTTATTTTTTCTATTTGCTTTTCTCATTTGTCTCATCAGGCTTAGATGCATAAAGCTCTCAAGAATAACATATAGATTACGATACTATCTGGCGTTGACACCTTTTAAAATAGAGTGACATCGGCATCTTCTAAAATAGATGTGTTTGTGTTTAGTATCCAAAATTTATATCGATATTTGTAATTATATTTAATTTATTTGTTTTCATTATCATTATTGATGTGTCAGCATTTTTGATGTTTGTTCTATTATGGCATTCTAAGTTTCACACTAATTATAGTCTACCTTGAAATGCTAACCTTCTATTTGCTGATTCAATTATTTCCCATATTCTCCCTTGTCCTAGCTGCTACCAAATACTCCCTCAGTTTTCTAATTTCACACTAATTATAAAATGTATATTTTGTTGCATCTTTCTCATATGGCCTAAAACATAACATGGAATCATCAATTTATAGACCAGATTAAAGAGTAGCGTTGAGTTAATTTATTAATCTATTAAATATGATTTATATAAAATTAAAGATTTATTTATATAAAAGATACTTTAATATGATGATTGTTTAGATTGATCGATAATTAAATCAATTGAATCTTTATTTTGAATTTAAAATTTAAAATTTAAATCCCTCTTCTCTCTTCATAGATACTGAGAGATGTCTCTTGGAATGAAATGTGACTATTAGAGAAAGAAGTTTATAAATAGAGAGACCTTTAAAAAAATAACAACAACTTTTCTCATTCCTTTTTATCTTTTCACAAATACACAAAAATATCTTTATCATCAAAGGATATACAAAAGAAAGAGAGGAGAGAACAATTTCAAACAAGATCGAGAACCGAATAAGAATCGGCGTCATGAATCCGGATAAATTTTTAAATTTTCATAAAAATTGGAATAATGTAAAAATCATAATATCAAAATCCAAAATATAAAGTTTTTCTAACAGTATCAACGATAATGTATTTTGTTTATTTCTATTCAAAAATACATTATCGTTGATATGTATGATTGAAACCTCATATTTACTATGTCAATGTCTTAATTTATTACGGTAACATGAATAAATATCAATAATATGTTTTGTTTAAGTTTATTAATTCAATTCTTTTCTAATTAAAATCCTAATTTTCGTAAATAAATTAACACTAACCTTCTTACAACATTAAATTTAAAATTATTTTTAATTCTAAAACTTTTGCTTGAAAATAATTCTAGCCGGATTTGCTAACACCTTCATTCTAATTTTCTAACCCAAACACGCTAGGATGAAAATGCTTAACATTCCCGCTAACTATCATCTGACTTTCATATCTCTTGTTTGTACTTGGTTACTAATTTCCCATTTGGCTGTGTTTTCATTCTCTATGGTTGTAACTTTACGCGAGAACATTGTCGCTTTTATTTCGTTACTATTCTTGCATTTTTTCTATGGTTGTAATTTACGCGAGTATATCGTCACAGTGCATTCCCTTTACTATTTTCGTACATTTCTCGTATGGTCATTATTTTGTTTACCGTTAATCCCTTCCAAAGGAATAGGTCTAGCCATTTGACCGCCGCATCAAGTCATTACCCTTTCGTCTTCCTCCTTTCAAACCTAGAAACTCCGAGTCGCCGTACTCATATTTTTAGGAGTCCCACCGTGGACAGTGTTACCCTTTACCCTAGCATTAGGATTAGGAGTCACCGTACTCCGTTTTAGGTTTCCTGCCGTGGAATACCTAGTTTACCCCTATTAATTCAATTCAAATTTCAACGTAGAAATAGAAGTCGCCGCACTCCACGTAAGCGCTTCCGTAAGAACTCTTACTCCCTATTGAAACCTTGACCACAATCAAGAAGTTTCTAACCTCCCTTTCGAGGGAAACTACAATTACTCTGATTCCATCCCCTATCTAGGATACGTAGGCACAAGATGCGAATCTTGGCGAGTAAAATTAGGACTAACCCTTATGTCTTTCTTTTCACTTTCTAACCCTGAGCATATACCTTAAGAAGATAATAAAGCAAAATAGTAAACTTTAAACAAAAGGTTCCTGTAGAGTAATACAGAAGTTTAGGGTGCTAATACCTTCCCTAAGCTTAACCAACACCTTACCTAGATCTCTCTCCGCATTGTGTTTACGATGCAAAATTAGGTTTTTCCTTTCTTTGACCTTTCCTTAAGATAAATTAAAGACCGGTTGTGAACTAAAGATGCGATTCAAATTAATTAATAATTTGATATCCTATTCTCACTGCAACACATGTGTCTATCAAAAACACAATCCCATTCAACTAAGGAAGAAAAGGATCACATGAATAAGATTCCATATATATCTGCAATAGGATCTATCATGTATTCCATGTTATGTACTCGACCAAATGTCTCGTATGTTTTAAGTGCAATGAGTAGCCACCAATTTGATCCCGGTGATGCTCATTAGGTAGTTGTCAAGAATATCCTTAAATACTTGAGAAGGACTAAGGACTCCTTCTTGGTATATGGAGGTAAGGAAGAGCTTGCTGCAATTGGATATAACGATGCTAACTTTCAGACAGATAAAGATGACTTCAAATCGCAATCTAGTTTTGTGTTCTGCTTAAATTGTGGCATTGTGAGCTAGAAAAGTTCAAAGCAAGAAACAGTTGTTGATTCTACAACCGAGGCTGAGTACATTGCTGCCTCAAATACAACAAAGAAAGCTGTTTGGATCAAGACGTTCATTTGTAAACTTGGCATAGTCCCTTGCACTGTGGATCCCGTTGATCTCTATTGTGATAACAATGGTGCTATAGCACAAGCTAAAAAGCCTAGATCTCACCAATGATATAAACCCATACTTAGGTGTTATCACCTTATTTGAGAGATGATAGATCGAGGAGATGTGAAGATATGCAGAGTACCTACACTACAATATTGCTGACCCACTAACAAAGCCTCTTGCGCAGCAGAAGCATGATGGCTATACTAGATCTATGGGTATTAGTGGTATGCTTGATTGACTCTAGTGCTAGTGGGAGACTGTTGGTACTTGTATCGAATTATTTATTAATGTTGGCGTAAGCCGTAAAGGCTAATACTTTTGGTACTTGTATCGAATTATTTATTAATAATAAAAGACATTTATTTATTATGTTTGTTTTTCCAGAATAATAGAGTCCATAGAATAACTAGTCCGTTTAATGAAATATTAAGTGTGACTTAATCATGAGATCTCATTAAATATAAGGATACTATTCTTAAAGTATCTGTAGTTGAGCTTTACTGTAAAGTGGGATAACCTTAAAGCATTAAGACTATTATGTAGATAGACTGATGATCACATCTCATGGATCATGGATAAAAAGTTATTAAGTTTTAACATAAGTATGAATATTAGGAGTAATATTTGTATTGGGTTGACCCGCTATGAGAGTACTACGTAGAATGTTATGCAAAGTGTCATAAGTTACTCTCATGGTGATAATGGTGTATACCACCCTTCGACCTGAAACCACCATAGATACTAGATGTAGGGTCGAGTACTTTATTATTGATCTAACATTGTTCGTAACTAAAAGACCATAAAGACAGTTGATGGATACTCCATAAAGTATGCTGAGGGACATGAGTGACCTAGAAGGAAGTTGCCCATTCTGCATAACAGGATAAATGTCTAAGGGCCCAATATTGAACTAGACAAGGATGACATGGTATATGCTTTGTGTTTCAATATAGACATAAGGCAAAAGGGTAATTGTACACAATAATATTATCATGAAAAGGTTTT